GGGTAGGAGTCATCTTCAGCTAAGACAGTTTTATTTTTCAAACAGGGTGGTTGGCCTTTGGAATGGTTTGTCTTCATATGTTGTAGAGGCAGTAAATTTAAATGAGTTTAAGAAAAAGCTTGATAAGTATATGAATGAAAAATGCTGGGTTTAAATTTTTTTATAATAATTTTAATTTAGTTTTGAGGATGGAACAGCCAAAATGGACCAATAAGTCCTATGTTGTCCCAAAATATTATGTTAATACATCAACAGGTAAATGCTGCTTTAGACACTTCGTTCAGTAATAATTACTTAAAATGTGACTCTCTCATACTGTGAAATTATTTAATATCAAACTGTGTTTGCATTTTTATTCATCATCTTTGGATTGTTTTGACTTTCTGAATTAATAAGTATTTCATAGACAACAACATGTAGTCTTGATCTTGCAGAAATCTTCTGTACTAAGTGAAGGTCACTTATTTAACTGTTAGTAATGGGAGTTGTATTTTATTGTAAATCTTAGAAAATTATAAAGTAGTATTTATTTCACAAACTGAGTTTGACGATCTGATGAATTTTTGTGAAATGAAATGTATTTCAAACAGGAAGACATTTCTCCATTGATTTAAATAAAAGTATGTAATATGTATTTAACTGTAACAGAGCTGGTTTAATGTTATAACTGCATGGAACAGTTTGGAAATGGCAGATTTTATTCCACAACAGTTTGGTACAGTTGGTTGTGTTACTAATTTTTAGTTGATTAAACAGCTGAAAGTAAGAACTACAATATATAGATATTTAGTATCATGAATCAAAAGATATTTTATCTTTACAAAGGTATCAAGCTGACTGTGAAGTTGAAATTCAAATAGCCTAAGTTGATATAGATATACGTGAGAACATGTAAACTTGATTACCATGAAACATAATCAAAATACAACCAGAAGACTGAGATTATAAGATTTGTGTGTTTTAATCTTATAAAGAATTAAACTTTTTATTTATTCGATGAGAATATTTTCATTTCGAATTCACTGTAAAGTGAACAATGTATAAACAAATGAAATTCAACAAATAATAGATAAAGTATATATATATCTGATACAAAAGTGTTATATTGGGCTTTTGCAGATAAACCCAAAATACTAACGTTTGTTTTTATCATATTTTATGCATTTTGTGGAATTTGATTGATAAGAATTTGTTACGTAGACTTTGATAGTATATATACCAATTGATTAAGGAATTTTTGACAATTGCTTTCAGCAGTGATGAAGAAGGATGTGAGGCAGAAGATAGAATTGAAAATAAAAGAATTATTTCAAAACCGATGGTTAGTCATTTATGTGTCTGATGCTTTACCATTGATCCTACCATCTGACCAATTTTCTTGTTTTAATACTTGATAATCCTCAACAACAATCTTACTATATTTACCATTGATCCTACCATCTGACCAATTTTCTTGTTTTAATACTTTATAATCCTCAACAACAATCTTACTATATTTACCACTGATCCTACCATCTGACCAATTTTCTTGTTTTAATACTTTATAATCCTCAACAACAATCTTACTATATTTACCACTGATCCTACCATCTGACCAATTTTCTTGTTTTAATACTTGATAATCCTCAACAACAATCTTACTATATTTACCATTGATCCTACCATCTGACCAATTTTCTTGTTTTAATTCTTGATGATCCTCAACAACAATTTTACTATATTTACCATTGATCCTACCATCTGACCAATTTTCTTGTTTTAATACTTGATAATCCTCAACAACAATCTTACTATATTTACCATTGATCCTACCATCTGACCAATTTTCTTGTTTTAATTCTTGAT